GGGGCCGGCTCTCCCCCCTGCCTGTCCCCGAGGAGACGCCGGCGGTGGAGGACGTGGAGGCCAGCGAGGAGCCGTCGGCTGTCCCCGACCCCTCGCTTTGCCGATTGTACCGTCACGTCTCCCACGACTTTTTGGAGATCCGCTTCAAGATCCAGCGGCTGCTGGAGCCCCGGCAGTACATGCTTCTGCTGCCGGAGCATGTCATGGTGAAGATCTTCAGCTACCTGCCCACCCAAGCGCTGGCCGCCCTCAAGTGCTCCTGTCACTACTTCAAGTCCATCATCGAGACCTTTGGGGTGCAGGCCACGGATTCCCGCTGGAACCGCGACCCCCTCTACCGCGATGACCCCTGCAAGCAGTGCAAGAAGCATTATGAGAAGGGGGACGTGTCCTTGTGCCGGTGGCATCCCAAGCCCTACCACCACGACCTGCCTTACGGCCGATCCTACTGGATGTGCTGCCGGAGACCCGATAAGGAGGCACCCGGCTGCAGGGTGGGCTTGCACGATAACAACTGGGTACACCCGGCCACCCGGCGGGTTGACGGCAGGTGAAGGGACAGGCGCCGGTGGGGACGGTGGTGGTGGATCCTGGGGACACGGAGGGGGCAGGCTGTCCACGGCAGTTGCTGGAAAGGGCGGAGAAGAAGGTGGAAAAAAAAAAAATTCATCAAACCCCAAAACTTGAAGGAAAAAAAAGGAACCAAGCGGAGGGGGTGGAGAGAGGGGGTGGCGGTGGCGTTGTGGGGCTGGCAGCGTGGAGGGCGATGGTCACAACTGGGCTGATGGCCCCAAGGAGGGTGGTGGCCCCAAGGAGGGTGGTGGCTCTGTGGAGGGTGACATCCCTGTCTGGGTTGATGGCCCCATGGAGGGCGACAGCCCCCTCCAGGCTGATGGCCCCATGGAGGATGACATCAGCTCCGTGGAGGCTGGTGGCCCCCTCCGGGGTGATGTCCTGTCCGTGGTGATGTCCCCAGGGAGGGTGGTGTTCTTCGGGTGTGACGTCCCCATCCGGGGTGACCTCCCTGGGGCAGGGTGACGTCCCCATCTGGGGTAGCGTCTCTGGGGTGATGTCCTGGTCTGAGGTGACATCCCCCCCGGGTGACACCTGCGGTGACATCACACGTTGAGAGTGACGTGACGTCGGGCGTGACGTGCCAGCGGGGCCGGGCCCCTCTCGCCGCCGTGGCCACTGGGCATGCGCCCGTTCTCCCGGAGCGCGCCTCTCGGGGAGGGGGCGTGGCCTAGCTCGAGCCCCGCCCCGCGCCCTATTAAGGGCGACTCCGTCGCCCGGGTGCCCTCCATGCCCCCGCCCCCGGGAGGCCCCGCCTCTTCCTGAGGAGGCCCCGCCCCCTCGCCATGCGGAAGGGCGCCAGTGGCTCCCCCCCCGCC